AATTTCTACTGACGACTGCTAGATCCCTGCTGTACTTGCTCCCTGTGAGTTTATTCCTATTGTTATGCGAAGCAATTTTTGTCATATAAATTAATGTAAAATACGATATTGCGTTCCATGTCGAAAAAAAATTTAAAAAAAAAACACTCACAAAATGCTATGTATAAGTTATACTATAACATTTATTCAAAGAAAATTATGTAAATATTTAAGGAGAGTAAATCCTCTTCATCTTTTCTTCAAACGCGGAACGAACCCACATGGAATGCGAATTCGATTTACAGAAAAAAAAGTCGAAATAATTATGATACACAGCTAATTATGTTTTTATTAGAAAGATGTCCAGAGACATTTGTTTTTGTCGACGCTTTAAAATTTGGCGAAACACAGCATTATCATTAAATTTGCAGCGCGCATGGCCACTTCCTTATTAGGAGGATGCTTCTCAATGTAAGAAGCAACAGTTTCCCATGCTTTCAGCATTTTTCTTATTTCGCCAGAAGATTGTTGCTTTTCTGTTACCTTCTCCTCCTTCTCCTCTGACAAACTTTCCTCCAAACGTCTTGCTGTGAAACACAATGCAACTCCATAAGCTCTTCGGTAGTCAGCTCTTGGCTGTGCTCTTCCACAAGCTCTTCGATATCACTGTTATCCACCCACAATCCCGTGGTGATAGTGGCCAAATACACAATCTCGTTGACTACAGGTTCCACAGGTATTGTCTCGAACCCCTCAAAGTCACAAATCGACAACACTCTCCGGCCAAAGCTTTGTCCAAGAAGAAGTTAGGGTTCTCTTGGTAACCCCTTCCCCCGCCTTGTCGATCATCTTGAGGCAGGCAACGACGTGGAAGTGATTTTTCCAAAACTCTTTGAGAGTGAGGTTGGTCCCTTCAGTCACCTGAAAACAATGCTCGAAGGGTGCTTTAGTGTAGAGCTTCTTAATGTTATAGATAAGTTGCTAGTCGATTGGCTGGAGTAACGGAGTGGTGTTGGGAGGCAGAAACTGGATCTTGATTAACTTAAATTCATCAGGGAGGCAATCTTGTAGGCCTGAAGGATTCATGTACATATATCAAAATATAAATTAAGTTTTAGAAAATGTGTGATCACAAGCAACAATGCTACTGGAACGAGTGCTAAACACAGACTAATGTAACATGCTCACAACCCAGGACTTCCCCTCTCCTCGCCACTCGCTATGCGAAACATCGCTCGTTAAGCGAGTCATTCTTTTACAATTTGTTTTGTTCGTTATGCGAATTACTCGTTATGAGAGGTGCTCGTTAAGCGAGGTTCTACTGTATTTCAGGTCTATGAATTCAGTTAACAGCCCTGAACCACAGACGCAGATTGTGCATACAAAGAATAAGACACGTAATAACAGACGCGGGCAGAAGTTGCATTAATTTAAACAGCAAAAAAGAATAGTCAATACTTTGAACGATACCAGTAGACAGATAGCCAAAAAGACAAACCAGACAGACAGACAGACAGACAGACAAACCAGACTGATAGACAGACCAGACAGATAAACATAACATATTACAGTGAATATATAACCTGCATTTTATTCAAAGTACGCTACTTGTGCATTGATACAACGACACCTCCTAGAGGTACAAGGTGGAAGAGAAGAAGAATTAGCAAATTTTTTTTTGGGGCCCAAATCTTCTACTACAATTTTTTAGTCTCTGTTAACACTAAATCCATCTACCATCATCCTCACAGTCGAAAAACGATTTTCCTGTATCTGCTCTCGAAATTTTGCAATGAGTTCCTCATTACAAACAGAAATTGGGCGTCCAGGTCTAGTTGCATTAGTAATCATTTCCACACTACTTTTGAATCGTGTATACCAGCTGAAAATATGTGCACGAGATAAACAATTATCCCCATAAACCTGTAGCATCAATTCAACTGTTGCAATGGCGCTTTATCTGAGTTTTAAACAGAATTTAATGTTTGCTTTATTTGCTCCATGCTGATAACGTTACAATGCACATATGACAAGGTTAACAAAATGGCGGCTTGATTGTTGTCTGCTTATCGGGCGGCGATGAAACGTTGCCAGATCATAGACGAAGGTTGCCTCTTAGGATTCCATGCTATGATTCATAGATGGCATTTTTGTTTTAGCCATAATAAAATCATTTTCATTACTTAATTGTAGAATCTTGCATTCCTTGGCAACAAAAACAATCAGATACTCAACACATATCATGCCACAGTGTATAGGAGACAAGTGAAAAAAATAGATAACATTATGAGCATCACTATTAAAAACCATCACAGAAAGAAAATGTGAAGGTAACTAAACCGAAGGTATTGGGAAGATAACATCGAGAAATGGACGAACAGCAGTGTTGGAGCTTTGGACATTAATTGTTACCAACCTTTATTGTGGAGGCAACACCTGACTAATTGGCATTTATCAAGCTGTTAGTTTTTCTGTTCACCAAAAGAAAAAGCGACACGGTATGCTGTAGTAATTGTTTACACGCTGTTTTTTTAAAGTTATTTTTACTGTTATGGTTATCGCTGTTTATTGAGATAAAGAAGTAAACACGTTAAGGTTGAAGTTAACGAGTATACTGACTTCCGTGGCCAATCAAACACGCACTTTCCATACCGGATCTCTACAGAGAGCAATGCTACACATATACAATGATAACAGACCCAAAGATCGACCACGTAGAGGATGTACTGCAGAAATATCATACACTGAAAAATTACTTTATACGAAGCAAACAGAAGGGCCCGTTCCTGAGATCTCTTCCTGCTCTGACGCGGCGATACATTTCAGGAGTTGAGAATATAAGAAAAAGCAGATCTTCATAATTATATGTGTACATTGTTTGGAGTGTATTTGCGCAAGTATGCGTGTCTGTGAGTGACATGCTCAAACTCCACGTTGAATACAATAATCCGAGGTTCAAATTGTATAACCAGATTCGTGTTAATGTTTAATTAAGGTAGTTTCAAGTTTATCTTGTATGAGTCAGTTTAATAAGGGTGTTATAAAGTGGTAAATGCACGGTACATCGTTGCACTATAATAATAACGCTTTTGTGTAATCTTGGTAATCTTAGTTTCAGCTTCATAGCAAACGGATTACCCCATAGTTGCTCCGCTCCTGTGCCAACGAAAAACACACAGAATGTTCGTCGCAGTCCCTTGTGGAAAGATTGACAGACTGCTGTCTCAGCATATGCACTAGCATACACACGCATTAAAAGCATAAGGTAGCCATCAGAAGTGCTAACACAAACAGTTTGACATTAGAAATGCAGTTCATCATCGACGGTAGCAGAAGTCGCCAATAGATCAGCAGTTGCGCACACGATCAATATTAATCACATAAGGGCACCACCAATATTGCGGCGACAAACCACGCGCCATTTTCTTAATCTACAGTTCACAACACCACGTTGGTCACAGTCGAAAAACATTCCAAATGAAATCCGCAGCTCACAGGGTCGAGCCATGCACTCAACGCAGTAGTTGGCGCGACGAAACGGTATCCTTTCAGTCTACAAATGGACCAAAAATGCAGCTAAAGTGTGGGGCTAAAAGCATTGCCTTTATGGTAAAACCTAGATACATTAAACTCTCGGTGGGCAGTCATTTCACGCGTAGTACTACACTGCAGAAACTTTTCATAGTGTGACTGTGTGCTCACACATTCCCAGTTCACTGTCCTCCTGACAGTATCTATCCTGTGTGATTGTGTGACAGACGAATGCAGTAAACTGATTAGACGCAGACAGTCAGCATTTATCAGACATGTTTTAAGAAGAAATTGCCTCCAGAACTTGGTAACAGCTGGCAAGGCTGATGGAGAGAGAGAGAGAGAGAGAGAGAGAGAGAGAGAGAGAGAGAGAGAGAGAGAGAGAGAGGGAGAGAGAGAGGAAGAGAGAGAGAGAGGAAGAGGGAGAGAGAGAGGGAGAGAGAGAGGGAGAGAGAGAGAGAGAGAGAGAGAGAGAGAGAGAGAGAGCAAGCGAAGGCAGTAAGATAAATACAAAAATGGCCTTTCCAGGTGGATGGGGCGAGATAAGAACACTGGCCTGGCCTGATCCTTGATTTTGAGAGATGTTGTGAGATCGGCACAGCACATGATAATGACCATGATGTTGTTGCATTTATTATCATTTTCCTTATTATTATCATCTTCATCTTTCATCATCAGCATCATCATTATCATCAAATAACAGGTTGTCTCTATTATATCACTGTCTAAACAGCCCACCAAAAAGATTTTAGAATATTTTATTGTTTTGGTCCCATAACTAGATATACTGCTACAGACAATATATATTATCTATGACCGTGTTCCTCCACCTTTTTTACACCCTCGATCCACTAAAACAGTGAAAAAAAAAAAAAAAAAAAAAAATAAAGAAGTTAATTTGTTAAATCTAGAGGTTTTAAAATTTATTATATATGGCTGGAGCCTTGTTTCTGATTTACGAAGCGCTAAAGTAGTATCCGTTAGATTTCTCAGTTTTGTTTTATTGTTTTCACACAATATAAAATACTCGAAGTGGTAACCAAACACATCTTACATCACTGCACGGTTCGGCAGAATTTTTACTGTGTGAGGACTTTTCCGTGGCCTGACTGACTGACTGACTTTCTACTCCACCAGGACATCACACAAGCGATAAACACCCTATGACACAAAGTGCCACCATGTGGATGAGGATCGCCGTGGGGAGGACCCAGAAACCGCGTTTAGACAATTTGCCATATTTATGGCCTGCCTATATTGCGGCCCTGGGGCTTCAAATAACAAAAAATGTTGTCCTAAAAAGGACGAAAGATTCAAGTTTTTTTCCCGTGGCCCACGGGTTGAAGAACACTTCTGCATGAGGTTGCAGGATAACGCCGCCATTGATTGAGCTGAGAGTGTAGAAACTATCTGGCAATAGCGGCCGTTTCCGTCCGTCTGACCTTGGCAGTTTGGGCACTGATAGACAAGGCCGACTCCTGCAGACAAACATGGGCGGACACGACGGTAGTAGTGGCGAGGAATGCCATGAGCATCAGGTCGCTCCACCTTTACGCGACAAATTTGAAACTTTAGCTCTCGGATTATTTAAAGCAATTGACAGTCCAGTGACGTTCTTCAGAGGTAGGAAATGAAATGTGTCACTGTTTAGTCTGTCTTATTGATTGAAAGTTGTTGTTTTTGTTAAACTTGAATCCATGATCATGTATGATGTAGTAGTAGTGTAGTAGCAGATGATAGGTGTCCTTTATTACCTTTAGTTTACACACAACCTCGCTCTCATTACGATCTACACGAACTGGGTCTCTCGCCAGCTCTCCCCCTCATTCACTTTTCTACCCGAGGAGTCACTTATATTTTATGACATCTTAGTGCTGGTCGACCCCTGCCCCTCCTTCCTAATACTATTAGGAAGGAGGGGACTAATAGTAATACAATAACAATACTTCTACTACTACTGTTTATTAGCCAGTCTTTCTTCCCTAGTCTTCCCTGCCTGATGTTCATATCGTTTCTTCTTTTTTTTTAAATCTATGGCATTCTGATAATCTTTCTATAGCATTTCAGCTCAAAAGCCCCAATTTTTTTCTGCTTTAAGGACTGACTGACTGACTGATTAAAAGCATAAGGTAGCCATCAGAAGTGCTTTACACTTTCTAGTACTAGAGTAGTAAAAAAACAAACTGATTATCATCTACTCTTTACTAACAGCACACAGCAGCTTAAAATAAACCACCAAAACATATAAATATGTATTACAAGAATAGTACTAGGAGTAGGAAGCTTCACAAAGGAAAAGAGAAACACACACATTGTTAAAACAATCTTGGAAGGAAAACTAAATGAGAAAATGCAGGGGCAGTATTTTAAGAAGGCATTCATTCCAATATGAGTGTTGTCAAGTCAACAGACAATTCAGAATTGATTAAATTGTGTATCGCTGTATGTTGTTGAGTCTTATTTGATAACGGTATTGAGAAGCCAAAATTTATATCTTTCTAACAAACACCTCTAATAAATGGTGCAGTCTTCTGTCTGAAAGTAGTGTTTAAAGCAAAAGGTGATAGAAAGGTTCCAATTGAAGGGTTTTGTCATAAACTAAAAAACTCTTCTAATAGTCGTTTGCCTTTGGCAAGAAAACAAATTAACTTTCCTAAGAAATTACCTTATTCAGTGTTTGGATCCAAAGAGTTAAGATAATAGCATTATGTTATGAGACAGGAGGCTTTAAGGTCAGAATTAAAGCCATGGGTTACAGTGTAGGTTATTGATAATTTACTTTGTACTAGATTTAATTGCCTGGCTTCACCTGGGATAGTGGAAGAAAGTCTTATTCTCCCATCCTCTACCTCATCTTGGTCTCCACCGCTGCCCTGTATGTAGGCGTAGTAGAAGTAGGGTTTTTAACAAAAACCCTCTATTTAATATCCAGTCGTCTACTTTATCTTTGTCTCCACTGCTGCCGTATCATTAGTCATTACTCCTATGCGCACCCAAGGCATACCGTATAATACTAAAACTCCTAAAATCAATAGTTAACAGTTTAGGAGACAGACAGATGAATGGTCTCACACACACACACACACATATATATATATGTGTGTGTGTGTGGTTTCAAGGAAGATAGCAACAAAATGTAATTTTTAAACATTTTCCTTTTAGTGGAAGTTATAGGAAAAAAGTCTAAGGGATATAACTCCAGTGAAAGTTTGCTTTTTACTGATTGTCACAATAAAGAAATAAATGTACAATAACCTCGGCCATTAGTGTGACTGTTAAACATTGTAGTAATGATGGCTTTTAAATATTTAACCCATTTATTGGTCATAGTTTGGGAGGAGTTAACACTTCATTTATAATAAACACGTGAAATACAGAAAGTGTTTTGAGTTACAGTATGGCATTTTTTTTGGTTGTTGCTGGACACCTTGCACAGGGGTAGTTACTATAAGTCCTTACGTCCTGAAAGAACGTTATTTTTTTGTTATTTGAAGCCCCACTCTGGCTTTTGCCAGGGGCCGCAATATAGGCAGGCCATAAAAATGGCCAAATGTCTGAACGCGGTTTCTGGGACCTCTCCACGGTGATCCTCATCCACATGGTGGCACGTTGTGTCATCGGGTGTTTATCGCTTGTGTGATGTCCTAGTGGGGTAGAAAGTCACTCACTCACAGGGGTAGATTTTACAGAAAGGCATTGCAAGCCAATGCGATCTAGTTTCATTCTTTTTTAGGACAAAATTTTTGGTTATTTGAAGCCCCACCCTGGCTTTTGCCAGGGGCCGCAATATAGGCAGGCCATAAATATGGCCAATTGTTTGAACGCGGTTTCTGGGACCTCTCCACGGCAATCCTCATCCACATGGTGGCACTTTGTGTCGTCAGGTGTTTATTGCTTGTGTGATGTCCTGGTGAGGTATAAAGTCAGTCAGACAGAGGTAGACTTTTGAATGTCACCCTTCTAGTCTCCCTTTTACAGATGTTTTGATGTTGCAATCTTCATCGGCTACCAGGTCACCCATTGTCTGGCCAGTAGACTGCCTCATCATCATTTAGGAAAATTTTCAAGTCTGTTTCCTATGATCACATCAATACTGCAAGAGTTCTTTTCAGGGCTACTTGGTGGCGAGCAATTTCAAGTCATTCTATATGGTGCCAATAACCTAGTCACAGTAATAACCTAAAGCTTCCCCTTGGGGATCTTGTTAATAGTTACTTTTTTTTTTTTTAAATTGTTGCTTAAAATCGGATTGGTCTCAACCTTTAACACTGTCAAGATCTGCTCTTCTTGAATCACAACTGCCAGATGATTTTATTTTAAAGCACCTGCTCTCTACAAGCATTTTAAAAATGTGGTTGCCATCTCCAATATGAAGGTTGGCTACAGTGTACTCTCTGCTGTCTTTGGGAATATTTTCTGATGAGGTCCTATTTTCTTCCATGGTGTGATTCTGATACCAAGGCATCTGCAGTTTGCCATACTACTACTATCTTTACTGCAATGTTTCTTTCTCTGTATTCTTTCTGTAGCAGGAGTCACAATTCTGCAGGCACAGAGTGCATCATCCCTCCTTTTAGGCATTATACTGCTGGGCTAGGTTTTTTAACAGTTGCCCGTTGTCTTATTTTCTTGTCGGTGGTTTGCTGCCTTGGCTTGGACATTGCAATTTCACTTCTATGGTGTCTATTGATAAAGTACATCATTCTTACGACAGATGGGGACCTGTTCAGCCAGCTGCTAGATTTAAATTAACTTTGGTTACTGAGTTTTAAGTCTGATTGAACTGTACCGTGTATTATTATTCTGTGATGATTTGTTCCACTGATTGTTTTGGTTATGCATAACCAGGATGGCTTTCTCAGCAGCTTTGCCCAGTTATTTCCCCTTTTTTTTTTTTTAGACTTGTTGATAATATAAATATGTCTTGTTGTTACATACTTTCTCATGCATCATTTAATAAGCAATCTGTATGTTAATTTTATCTGTGTGTTAATTTTATCTGCTGTCGTTTTTTGCATTTCATTCACAAATTAGTTATTAGTACGGATATTAGGGCCTAGCATTGGAAGTTACCAATTTTTAGTTTCTAATTTAGTTTATTTCCTCTTTCAGTTTTATTGAGAATATTGAGTTTTACTTCTATCTCTTTTTCTGTTGTCCTACTGCTTGTGACATATATCCTTTCTTTTGCTAGTTGCGTAGCTTGTATTAACATTATGTTGCATTTCTTTAGTGTCTTTTGTACTCCATCCACCCATAATTTCTTGGTCAGCCTCTCGTCTTGTAGCCTGCTGTTATGAAGTAGACTCGAGCTGCTAGATGATTTTGTTCCCTTCTGACTAGGTGACCAAACCGTTGATTCTTTTAATGTTTTTGGGAAATAATTTGAAAGAAACTGGCTCACAAAGAGAACTGATTGCACACATTAGAAAGAGACAATCTACATTCTTTCGTCATGTGATGAAAAAGACAAAACTGGAGTATATCGTGACGGTAAGAAAGTTGGAGAGGGGGAGAGGCAGAACGAGACCGAGAGAACAGATGCTGGACAGTTTGACATCATGGCATGAAAGATCATCTGTGTCAGAGTTGATTAAAAGTACACAAGACTGAAGGTTGTGGATAGACATGACTACCAATGCCACACTGCATAGACTTTAAGAAGAAGAAGTGCCTACCATTGTTCTTAGTTTATCATTTGTGACTGTCTATTCTTGTTTTTTTCTCGTTGCATTTAGTCTCAGATGTTGAGATTTTACCTTTTGTTCCCAAGGACTGTCCATATCAAGCATTGATAACACAAAGTTGGTACAAATATGGCATCTTTCAGCTGCTTTTGTGTGTGTCTGTTGACATTTTGATTCCTCAAGAGTAGCGCTGTTTGGTAATTTATATTATTTGCTTTTTGTATTCCATCGTCATTAAATTCACAGATCCTAAAATACTTTTCGTTGATTTTTAACTCAAAATTTTGCCAGAGCAACGCTGTTGTGCTACTCTTTTTGATTTCCAGGGATTTTTTTACATGCGCAACAATACGCAGGCATCCGATCTTACTACCCAGAGACCAGAGGAAATTACTAAAAGTCCATATAAAAAAAATCCTTGCCTTCACCAGGTAGATATCTTGGTAAACTCCTTATCTCTTTTGAATACTCTTCTTCAGCACTGATGTTATGTTATGCACTGTTGCAAATACAGATGAGAACACAAATGATCGGGTACTGACTAGTTTTGACAAATTTACCTAAACAGATTCCTGCTTTTCATATTTTACAGCTAATAGTATGTTATTTTCATTATTTAAATTAATTCTGTTTACATATCACAGAGAAAGTTGTATTGCCACTTCAGACCAGAAACAACGAGAAGTTCTACCACCGACGCTTCAGTAGAGTTCCTACTGTTGACAATTGTGATTTTGAGGATCCAGTTTGTGTCTACGAGGCTGATGAGCAGTACTTTAGAGACAAGTAGGTGATTTTCTCTAGTGAACTGAGAAAAGGGTTTGTCTATTTCTGGAAAGTAGTGCTGGATATACATTGTACTGTGATGGTAATTCTTAGTCATTAACCTTTTGGAGATGGGGCCTTTTTGGAGTTTCAGTGCCAAAAAGACGGAGCCTTCAGAAGGGAAATCTAATAGTTTATACACAACAAAATTATAAAAAAGAAAGCGTTTAATTAACATCTACAAAACTATATATATTTATGCAGGAAATTGAATAAACTAATAGAATATCTATGAACCAAACTGAAATCTCAACATTTATTCATATTAATTGTGCAATTTTTATAAAACTTAGAAACAAACATAACTAACCTGAAAAATTTGGGTGAATGTTTTTATGGATGAAACTTAGATAAGGCCCTTCAGACACGTCTGGCACATGGTTCTACTCATTTTCCTGCCTCCAGCCATGTTTCGGTTGCTATGATGCAACAGTCCTTTTTGCCTTTTTTGGGCTCAGGTAACCCCAGAAAAAAAATCAATTTAAAATTACAGAACTCATCAAACTTTTTCAGAAGCCGTCAATGAACAGTCCACATGTTCAAGAAATGTGAGAAGCAGTCTGATTGGCTGGTGTTAAAACCTACCAACCAATATTAAGTTAAACCCCTAAATTAATACTCATCCACATCATAAGTGCCCTGTATTAACTCTTATACGGTTAACATGGTTTATGGGATTATAAAAGGTTTATGCACTGAGTGAGTCCGTCACATATGCTAGATATTTGCGTGAGACAGAAGCCTTAAACATGGATAGCATGTCCAGAGTAAACAATTTTAACTGTGAATTATATTCACTTGTTGGCAGTGATTTGCCTAATGTTATTGAAAACTTTTGGTTTATCTGAAAACCAAAAAGATTAGAAATTATAACCGGTTCAGTTTTATATTAAGATCAGATATTTCAGTGACATTTCCATGGTTATGTACAGTTTGGCTACATAACTGTAAAAAAATTTTGAAATTTAAATTTGGTTTTACATAAATACTGTCTTCAGGTGTGCAAGAGTCAAATTGATATAAATAATAACTTTTTGTGTTGATATTGTAAATGTTTCATGCTGTTTATTGCATTCCTGAACAGAGCATGGGACAGTAGTGGGAAAAATAGGCAAGAAAATGCATTAGCAGAGGCTATGGTGGATGCAGACGTAGTCTGTATAAACGACGGTACGCCAACTAGAATGGCAGTGAGACCTGGTGGCAGACACAGCAATTGATTTAGTGTTTGTTACCCAGTCAGCACTGCTGGACACAAAATGGAGTGTCCTAGGCGATCATGAGAGTGACTATATGCCGTGCTTAGTCTTGATGTCTAAAGCTAGCAAGATCAGGGCTGTGAGAGCACGCAAGACTTAAGTATGAGAGGGACAGTACCTTCTTGGGCGACTTCAACAGAATGTATGCAGCAAAACCCTCATCTCTGCTTTTGTGCAGCCTCCATGGTGGACACAAGAAAGAAAAGTAGAAAAAACACAGAGAGCAAAGTGAGCAGCAGTCTAGCAATTACAGAAAGTGTGAATGGCACCTCACAGGTTACAAGAGTAAGTATAGGGGCTAAAAGAGTTAAAAAAAGAAAAAGTAGAAGATTTCAGGCGTACAGCAGATGCAAAGAAGGCTTAATGGGAACATTTTATGAGCGAAATTGGAGGGGATAGATCACTGGGTAGGTTTTGGAGATTACAGACAGATGCGAAGGAAGGATCAGCCTATCACAACAGACTTTATATACACTGATAATGATATACCAATGAAATAGACAAAGAGAAAAGGGAAGCATTTTTGAAGAGATTTATAGCCCAAATTGATCATAATGATAAGAAGCTTAGAAATTCAGTTAGAGATCATCTGTATAATTCAGTAAATGAAAATTATTTTGAGGATATTATTAGAGTGGAGGATATAAAACATATTGCAAAAAGCAAAGGTCACTGCACCCGTCGAAGTTGGGTATGCCCACATGAAGAGCATGACATAGCTACCTAATTCGACAAAGATCATTCCAGACTCAGCGGTTTTAGGATTATCAGCCTACAGCATACTTTTGGCAAAGTGCTAGAGAAGATTATTGCTGTTACACTGCAAATAGAGCTCCTGCCAAAAGGTTTGGGTAAATACCGGCCATGGAAAGAAACCTGGTCAAATGCTGCTACATTTGCTTTTTGATGTTTATGAGGGGTTCCAGAACAGAGAGGAGATGGTTGTCGCAGCACTTGATCTTGAGGATGCTTACAATAGAATCAGATGCAATATTTGATCTCTCCACTCATGGAGAAGGTGGTTTGTGAATTGGATAACAGGTGTCCATTCACGTATGGTTGCCCTTCGTCTGGGTACATGGACCTCAGAACCCTGTAATATCGCCCTGGGACTACTCCAGGGTTCTTCAATGTTACCAGTGGACTTTAATGTGTATACAAGCAGGATTGAAGAACTAGAAGCACCAGGTGTTGGAGGGTGTAACGTGCGTATGCTTCATTGTGACGGGCGGAAGCTTGAGCTGCAGTGTGACGTGCTGTTAAGGCTGCGTGGTGATGTACGTCGTACCAAAGTGACTAGGGGCATCGTAATGTAACAAAATGCATCAACACTTAACATGCCACTGGCCAAGAGTAACACAACATGATGAATGCTGAAGCTTCCAAACGTAGCGGAACGAGAACTCTCTTTGAAAGTTCCATTTGTGTATTGACAAATAGCAATGATCAACACAAGGAGAAAATATGCAAGTAATAATTCATACTCATTCAAGCACATCTACAAAAGCCCGCTCGTACATCCATGGACTGATATGTCCGCACGATAGGTCGCAGTCAGACCTTGAGATCCAGACAGTCATCTTCGGACTGTAAACATCAACTGCAAAGTATACCGGCTTACTGCCGAACTGTGGCATCCCGGGGTAAAACTTCCTCAAGGATCCACCGTGGCATCCCGGGGTAAAGCATCCTCAAGGATCCACACCAGGGCCGGACCACCGTCCGCCTTGGTCAAACTTCGACTTTCATCTCCTAGAATACAATTCCTTCACAACCTGACGTATTGTTTTGACGTCTTATTTGCTCACTCAGTACCGGTGCGTTCTGGTGCACATCCGCACGCGACAGCTTTTCCCCCCTCCCCGAGGACGACCGAGGACTAGGACTTGTCGTAGTCTCGGTCGGAAAACTGAAGTCATGTCGCGGCAAACAGCACCAATACGAGAGAGCAAATAAGAACACTTGAATACACAGACACTCACGTTCAATATATCATATATACGTTATTATATGAATGCAAAATATATTAATGACTAAGCTCAACAGAACATATTAATAATATCATGTAAATTCAACACAAGACACAAAACATCAAATCTATTCTACTGCATTTGGTCGCGTGACAAAAAATCGGCCACGACAATCTCTTTCCCTGGGCGATAAATAATGGTGAAGATAAACGTCTGCGAATACTTTGTCCATCTACGGATGCGTAAGGTCTTGATGGGTGCTGACATGACTGCCACATTGGATGCATCTGTGGAAACATAGAACGCAGAGACAAATCTGGCAAACACAAGAACGGATTGATTACTATTCAATGCCTTTTGTAATCTCTGGAGCGCGTCCTCGCACTCTCTCGTCCAGATCACCTTCACTGGCATTCCTTTCATCACCAATGAGGACAACACGCTGAAATGGTTTATGATCATTATGAAAAAGCAGAATGTCGTCGAGATAATAAAAACATCATTACGATCCCTGTAACAACTTGCTGATGCCCGTCTGGCTGTTAGAGCTGTAGTGTTTTTGCATGACAATCTCTGTTTCAAAAGTTTGTATCCCTGATTTACGACTCCTCGTTTGACGACAAAACCCACGTCAAATAAGGGTCACACAGATACTATCGCCAAAACTTCTGCATCGTGGATTACCCACCACGAGGGCCAAAAGTTCAGCCCACACCAATGTCTCCTCCAGCGACGAAAAATACCCACGTCGTGGGATAAAACATGTGAAATTTCTAACACGTGGAGCGATGCATAACCCAATATCACTCACTGTGTTTCTCTAGTTATTTTCTCTCGGCGAACCCGTCAGCTTGAGAATGATTAGAGCACCATCCGTGACACATAATCACTCTCAACTTACGACCGCTGGTGTTTGTCCAAAATTTTACTTTGTCCACAAGAACACTACGCTTACGTTATAAAGGGACAATAGGGATGAACTGATGATACCAGACGAATGTGCATCTAAAGCTCCTCCTATACATTATATGATGCTTTTAAAGCGGTGTCACCTGAAAGAAAACACCTCACCTCGACTAGCGTGAGTCTACAACATTCGCTTACGGCCTGCGTTTTCCCTCCAAGGGTCACCGGTAGCCTTCTAAAACAAAACCCTGCCCTGTTTCTCTAGTGGTCCTACACTTCCCCACGTCGCCACCCAGGACAGATTCTTCTTCTTGGTTATGTGTCCTTCCTCTGAATCACTATAATCTATAAATGATAACTGGTGATACTTGATCTCTGGCAACCAGTCTCTCGACACACAGCCAAATCCGTCGACTCTTGTCGAACCTAGAAGCTAATAACATGTTGGGCAATCTACGCCTCATCTCTATAAAATTCGCATAATGTGAGCCTTTCGACTAATACACTGACCTCACTTCATCGACAGGCTACTAAATATGATCTATGTTTTCCTTGCTAATAAATTCAGTACTATAACAATCAGTTTAACAAATATATATCTTGATAACACATAACAATTAATGTGCCACTCGCTCTCCACTTGCGCACAGGAAAACCAGGTCTGTTCTCTGGAGGAAAGAGTTAAAATTGTCAGCGCAACAGAAACCACAATTGACTTACCAATTGGGTGGCAGACAAACAACACACTGCAATGTTAGCAATGAAAAATCGCCAAAATAACGACCAGTACAACGGCAAGTAGCAGAGCATATACAACGAAAATGACGACGTGATCCAATCCAATCCAACGGAGAGTGGCACAGACGGTAACGGTGACTGGATTATGATAAAGATCCAACGAAGAGTGATACGGTCCCGATAAAGGTCCAACGAAGAGTGTCACAGATCCAACAAAGAGTGATTGATAAAGTCCAGATGAAGATCCAACGATGCTAGAACAGACCGGCGGCGGCGACTTGATACATTGGACGATATCCACAGCTAGAGATGTGTAAAGATTGTGACAACTGGAATGTGCTTCCTGTACAACTTGAGGCAAAACCAATATGACAAAATGTCGTATCACACTTGTGACGAAAGGTCCCTCATTCTTTAAAGGCTGGCCTCCATTGTGACGTGCGGAGCTTTATTGTGACGGGCGAAGCTTGAGCTACAGTGTGACGTGCTGTTAAGGCTGCGTGGTGATGTACGTCGTACCAAAGTGACTAGGGGCGTCGTAATGTAACTAAATGCATCAACACTTAACATGCCACTGGCCAAAAGTAACACAACATGATGAATGCTGAAGCTTCCAAACGTAGCGGAACGAGAACTCTCTTTGAAAGTTCCATTTGTGTATTGACAAATAGCAATGATCAACACAAGGAGAAAATATGCAAGTAATAATTCATACTCATTCAAGCACATCTACAAAAGCCCGCTCGTACATCCATGGACTGATATGTCCTCACGATAGGTCGCAGTCAGACCTTGAGATCCAGACAGTCATCTTCGGACTGTAAACATCAACTGCAAAGTATACCGGCTTACTGCCGAACTGTGGCATCCCGGGGTAAAACGTCCTCAAGGATCCACACCAGGGCCGGACCACCGTCCGCCTTGGTCAAACTTCGACTTTCATCTCCTAGAATACAATTCCTTCACAACCTGACGTATTGTTTTGACGTCTTATTTGCTCACTCAGTACCGGTGCATTCTGGTGCACATCCGCACGCGACAGAGGGATATTGACTTTTGCCGATGATGTTCTTGCCTTTAGGCAACTGTAGACAAAGTGACTGACCGGTGTGCAGAAATGGGTGCTGTCATCAACTCAGAAAAGGCAGCTGTTTTGTGGTTCTCTCTGGACAATAAAATTGTAAAAGCTAATGTTCTAAATCTCACAGTTAATAACAGTAACATCAAAGGAGAAAGCAAACTGAGGTACCTGGGTATCATTTTAAACAGAAGCCTGTCCTTCACGTTCAAATGCAGGCAGTTGCGGTGAAATGCTAAAAAGGACTCAATGCTCTCAAGATTATGGCAGCAATGGACATGGAACAATGTTGTTCACAATGTTCCAGCTTGTAAGCCTGTCAGTGATAGATTATACTTGGCATGCTTACCATATCAAAGAGTCAGGTGATGAAACTTGAACGCATACAGAATGAAACCATGCAGATAATCCTGGAATGTACAAAAGATACCCCGGTAGTATTTATGTGATATTTACTTGCAGTGCCTACCATTTCAGATAGACTCAAAGTTATGCAAGCAAAGTCATATCTCAGAGTAGCCGCAGACAAGAGGCACCTCCTGCATGAAGCCCTGGATAGAGCTAAGGGTTACAGACTGAAAAGAGGAAAGTCTTGGATGGCGCAAGCTGAAGACACAATTGGACATGTGTTCAGGCTTGATAAATTTAAGTGATGAGAGGAGTGGGTCAAAGTGTCCACTCAGGTTTCAGACTCGTGTAGGGTTCTAATCAGAAGTTCAACAAATGATTTATGAAAATTCCCGCCCAGATGATCTGATTGTATATACAGATGGCTGTGTGTTGAGGGGCAGACGAAGTGCATGGGGGGTCATAGCGAAGGCGAATATATGTCGCTTGGCGCAACAAAGCCCTGTATATGATATCACAACGTGAAGTTTTGAGGTGGAGGCAGTCAACTGCTGCCCTGCGCTGGCTTGAGAATCATCTGTACACACATGCCGTCATTGTAACTGACTCACAGAGCATGTTGAGAAAGGTGAAAACATTCATGCTTTGTGCAGAGTGGCAAGTATCACTTTAGAGTTTCCGGGTAGCTAGCATCCTTTAGATATTTTTTCCAGGTTATGTCGATGTGTTAGAAAATGAGCAGGCTGATAGACTAGCTGGCTCGCATCACTTGGTCGTGAACTGATATATGACAAGCTAGATGTTGTGATTGCTTTTTGGGAGAGAGTGAACAGTGCCGAGGAATAGATAGATCATTATGTTCTGAGGAGAATGGCACTGCAAGAAGTTTTAAGGGGATCTGGCCGACGCTTACCACTCGGGGGAAAGGCGAGACAGATATACAATCAGACAGTTACTTGTACCGTCAGAATGTTAACTCTTCACTTGCTGCTTAAGATGGGGATGGAGCACTTATGGGGGTGTCTTGAGCACTGTGATGTCGATTCCTAATTCAACATTATTGCATTCCTGTAGTTTGCGAGCGAGCATATAAAATGTATACATACAAGGTCTGACAATTAAGTAATGAGACTAATTCATTAAAAAATTAAAAATAAACAGTTAAAGATATAACCTGTATTTATTCAAACTAAGCCCCCTTTGCATTGATATAGTAAGTTGCATGATCTAACAATCACTGGAACGACCTCTGTAATTTTTCTGTTGTTTTGGCCCTTCAAGTTGATGTTAGGCCTCTTGGATGTCATCAGTATCGTCAAAGAAGCGTCCTTTCAATGATAACTTTAATTTCGGGAATAGAAAATAATAATAACAGGGAGACAAATCTTGGGAGTAGGGTGAATGATTGAGAACACTTGTTTTGGGGGCAAAAAATTCCTGTACAACTACCGCCCTTTGAGCCGGTGCATTGTCAGGAAGAAGAAACAAATTGCCAGGTGTCGAACACAAACCAACACAAACCGGCAAACAACTTTTTTTTTTTATTTGGGTGCCCAAATCTTCCACTACAATTTTACAAATAGTTTCTGTATTAACACCAAATTCCTCTACCATCATTTTCACAGTCGAACAACGATCTTCCTGTATCCGCTTTCGGAATTTTGCAATAAGTTCCTCATTACAAACAAAAATTGGACTTCAGGTCTAGTTGCATTAGTAATCATTTCCACACCACTTTTGAATCGTGAATACCAGCTGAAAATCTGTGCACAATATGAACAGTATCCCCATAAACCTGTCGCATCAATTCAACTGTTTCAATGGCCCTTTTTCTGAGTTTTATACTGGATTCGATGTTACCTTTTTTTTTTTTTTGCTTCATACTGATTACGTAACATTGAATCTATGACTTGGTTAACAAAATGGTGGCTTGTTTGTTGTCTGCTTATTGGGCGTCAATGAAAAGTTGCCAGATCATAGATGAGGGTTGTCTCTTTGGATTCCATGCTGTGAACCATAGGTTGCATTTTTGTCTTAGCCATTATAAAATCAGTCCCATTACTTGTCGAACCTTGTAGAATACAGCTGTATATAAAAATATTTATCAGTTATTAGTTTTGCAGGAAATAGAATTTCTGAAGTTTTTAGCTGTAGGCAGTTAAATAAAATATTGTTACAGTGAGAATTCAGACTTGATTTAAAATTGTAATTATAGTGAGAATATAATTTCTCATTTCCTTGACAGGTTAGTTGACAGTAACATTCTCAAAATACTCAGGCAAAGGAAAGTAGAATGTGAATACTGGGAAGGGCCTGATGCCAGCTATAAATGCAGAAAGTTTGTGGAGGACTATGAGGATGCGTCAACTAACTGGTTCATCAAATGTAAGTGTTGTGTCATTATATCTGGATTGTTTCCTAAACAACACGATTATGTTGTTTATAAAGCCTAGCACGCTAGGAGCAACTGCCACAGCAAAGTAGAAATTTAGTGTTGTGCGGACACACTTCCTCAGTGAGTGCCGACAAGGTGTAAAATACCTTGCCACAACCAGCATTTTATTACTTGTTTGAATATTGAGACAGATTTTAATTTCAGCAGCAATGGGGCTTCAAATTTTAGAGTTGTAAGCCTCACTTTTCAAGCAGCACCTTGTCTGAGAGCCGGAAATCCAACTTTTGCAATAGCTGGCGCTTAGCTTGAAACAAATGGGTGGGGGGAGGGGGGTGTTACTACATGCAGGTCTTAAGCATGTAAAAGCTGTAAGTGAGGTTGGTGTAGTCTTTGGTATGGTAGGTGACTGCGTTTATAAAAAGTACAAAATATAACCTCATAATGAAGAATGTTTAGCAATTTGCATTCTTAGAGGTAAGCAGGTGACACGAGAAGGGAGCGAGGGCAGTACACACATTTCATTTCCTAGTTCCGGATGTGACTTTATGGTATTTATTTTGTCAGGAGTGAAAAGCCTTTTAACTCCGTATTTATATAATATATAATTTTGCAGGCTTACACACACCATTTTGACATTGTTTATCTATATGCATGCTGATTGTTACAGACGGTGACATAAAGACTCGTAAAGGCGCCATCGAAGCTTACATGAAACAGAAACACAGACTGATTTGGGAGAGAAGGAACCCTGACAAGCCATTGCATTAAGGCAAATGTTTCAAGAAATAGTGTAGTGAAGTTGTAAAGAGTGATTTAGTTTTTTATCTTGAATGTTAAAGTTTTTCAGATACTATTGTTAAATTGTGTTTGTTAAGCTTATGACAACTGTCTGTTGCGTCAAGCAGTTTCATGTTACCGTTAAGTTGTCTTAGATATGTTATACTTTTCATAGTATGAGACATTTATTTAGATCATATGCAATAGTAACTAAAATTCTGTTGGTAGATCTGGGTAAAATAAATCAGTTATGATGCCTAACTTTTGTTATTATGTAAAAAAAAAAAAAGGTAAACATCTAATGGTAATAGTACTATTGAAGCATTTAAAAACTTGGCCACATGTGTTTGTTTTTATTAACATGCTGATGCTTGATGTTTGTCAAAACACTCACCTCAATGTTTAATACGCTTCGTACACTGCAGTCTGGATCACTGCACTGTCAGCAGAACCCAGATGAAAAGACTGGACCGCTTATAAGGTGAAGCTTATACTTGGCTGCATGAATGACGCATTGTGCCACACAATGAGTGATACGTCCTGGCTTTACTAATGATAGCCACCAGGCACAAATTTGCACAGGTCAAAGTGTACATAAGAGTGCAGTGGAACCTTGCTTAACGAGCATAATTCATTCCAGAGTCATACTCGTTAAGCAAAATACTTATGCGAAACAATTTTTTTCATATAAATTAATGTAAAATACGATAATGCGTTCCATGTCGGAAAAAATACTCACACAATGCTCTGTATAACGTTTATTCAAAAAAAATTATATGCATGTTGTTAAGGAGAATGAATCATCATCTTTTCTTCAAACGCGGGACGAACCCACCAGGAATGTGAATTCGATTTGCAGAAAAAAAGTCTAAATAATTATGATACATAGATATTTTTTTTTTACTAGAAAGATGTCCAGAGACTATTGTTTTTGCAGACGATTCGAAATTTGGCGAAAATGTATTATCATTAAATACATTTGCAACGCATATAGCCCCTTCCTTATTAGGGTGAGGCTTCTCAATGTAAGATGCAACAGTGTGCCATGCTTTCAGCATTTCTCTTTTACGCCAGAAGATTGTTGCTTTTCTGTTACCTCCTCTGACAAACTCTCCTCCAAAAATTCTGCTGTGAAACACAATGCAACTCCATAAGCTCTTAGGTGGTCAGCTCTTGGCTGTGCTCTTCCACAAGCTCTTTGATATCACTGTTATCCACCTACAATCCAATGATAGTGGCCAAAGACACAATCTCGTTGACTACAGGTTCCACAGGTACTATCTCGAGCCCCTCAAAGTCACAAATCGACAAAGCTCTCCGGCCTAAGCTTCTAAGCAGAAGTTAGGATTCTCTTGGTAACCCCTTCCCCTGTCAACAAGTATTCTGGAGAGACGGAATGAAAAAAGGTGTTGAGGGAAATAAGGATCAGGTGAAACATATCAGTCACATACAAAATACATAGCACATATATAAAGGCAATTTGGATAGACACGAGATAAACAGATACACAAGTGGGTTGATAACATCAAATGATGAACAAAGGGAAATCTGAGAGTTTACAACCAGGACAAGAAATAATATATTGGAGCTCCATTTATTCCTCTTCTTCAGCAGTCAAATTTTCTTGTGTGTCGGTTCCAGTTTTGCTCATAAACAAGATCATGTGCTTGAGGTCCTTATCAGTGTGCCATAGCTTTTTTTGTGGGCCAGATTTCTTCTCTTTGTCTGGCAGAGTCTGGGCAGTCTCTAAGACATGCTGTGATGAACCTCAACCACATGCAGCAGTTAGCAAGACCAATTTGATGGTGTTCTCTGAGTTTAAAGTGTTCCATTCTGAGTCTGAAAATATTGGTCTGGGCATGTCTTTTAAGCCTGTGTATGGTGTCATGCTTTTAATTAGCTATTAATCAACACTAGAATGCATTCCTTGCTACTGAATAAGTTGAAGTTCTCAGATGGGTTTTCTGCAGCATTTGCAAGCTTTGTATGCCATTTCATATGCAGTGGGCCAGTATCCACTGAATGACTAGTTCGGTTTTTGTGGACAGCACTCTGATTTTATTTTTGATTGCATGGATGATGCTGTCCTGTGAAAAGGCAGCTTTATTATTCAAGTCCACTGCACACCTGGAAGAAGGGTCATTGCCTCTGCCTTTGAATTTTTCCTCTGCTGCTGGGTGTTATATATATATATAAAGATTCCGTCTCCACAGGCCGTTCACTACACACCCACTGAATCTGTGTCAAACACACTTTTGACTCAGAGCGCCTAGCCCTGACAGCCGGTTAAAGCTGACCTAGATCCCTTATTTCTGTTATGCGCACAAAACTTCGTTTGACTGGTCAGAGAATAATTACCTGTAGGGTTTAATATCTTTACAAATGGTGTGGGTTATGTAGAGTACCAACTAATTAGCCTGCACAGGGAAAGGTCTAATGTTCGGTTCCTGATCTCTGGACATCAAGAACGGTCGAACTCTGTGCGATCACACAGCTGACTCTGCCCTCTCTGCAGCAGTGGCCAACTTTAAAAAGACATCAATTATGGTACTCGTAAACTATAATCAACTTACCCAAGCTTAGGAAATCTTCCAAGATAGAAATGGAACTTTGAATGCACCAATTTCTACAAAGACTATACACGTCTTGACACTTTGGGATCAGGCGAAAGAATGTTTTTTCAAAATCAAACATAGCGTCTCTAGGAAAGAAGTCACCTGTATTCCTGCCCAAGGAGTAAACCGGTTTACAGGAATTTCTAAATAAATTACCAGAAATCGTCAACCTACAGTTGCAAGTTTGAAAATGAAGATTTATCAAAGCAACTAGAGGGTCTAGAAATGAATATATTACCATATGAAGGTATATATCAATATAAAGGACTATATACCCTTCCGGACGGGTTTAAGTTTGAAATTTGACTGAGCGCGAGGGAAGTCAAAGTTGCGACTCGTCCATTGTGTAGGGTTGACTGCTCACCTCACGACACTGACTAATATCAAAGTATTTTAGGTACCTGTAGGATTACAATTTACTGAACTGCAATTTTCTTCTTCTTCTTCTGCATTTGACATCAGTCATGCTAAACATTGAGTCCCGTCTGGTTCACAAATAGGATTATGCATTTAAGGTCGCCACCTGTCCCCCAAAGCTTCTCTTTCAATGTGGCTCTCTTGGGCCAGATCCACACTTTGCTGGGAGAGGTGAGGGCTGTACTGTAGTATGTGCCCAGGGGTCTGTCTTTCTGCACCACAATCACAGGCAGCAGATTCTTTTATGCCTATCCTGTAAATTGAACTGCAATGAAACTTGGATTGCAACATCTCTGCTTTCTGTCACGATTCGGTTTGATATGATTACTGCAACATATCTACTTGCACTGCTCTAACGTCTAGGAATGATAACACAAACGGCTCTCAGTCCCTTTAAACATTTCTGTCAGTTTATTCGATCACATTCTTCCACACTGTTCCAACAATGATTCCAACTTCCACAAATCATTCTCAAGACATTAAAACTACATCTTCTATTAACACAACTGTCTTCAGTGACTTCAGGTAAGCAACTGACTTCCTTGAATGCTCTGATGCGACTGACCACGAGTCTAGCTCGAGCCTGCCCACGTCTACTCAACTGGCCCCAAGAATCTTGTGCGGTTGTTTGTTTGTCGCACGGATTTTCCGCGTGGCTCGATGTGAGCGTGGACACCATGCAAAGCAGGTTCATTACAGAACAATGTAAGTCACTTTGAAAATCCTTACAGTGGGAGTGTTCTTACCCAGGATCACTGAGGCAGTAGACAAAGTCCACTTTCCAGTCTGTTGAGAACTAGCAATTATAAACAATCTGCTACATATTATTATTAGTATAATAAAACAGCAGGTGATCTCATCAAATCTAGTGTCGCAACTTAACTGAAGAAATCTGGTACATCGCTTAGCTAGTTTCATCTGATATATGTACTGGAATTAAAGTGAGAAGTGGGTTGCAGTGACGAGGCTAGACCCTTTACCACGCCTTTAGGCGTATAGGGCTAGACCTATATTTTTATAGACCAATCGTCGCCGTAGCATCACGCCGGCCGCCTCTACTTTCCGAGACTGCACCCGGTACCAACTCAAGGTTAGGTCGACCTGGGAGCCAGGGTAATTTTTGAAAAAAGTCCGGCTCCGCCAGGGAGCGATCCCACGACCTTCTGATCCGCGGCGAGCATAAAGCTGTATTAAAATATGAATAAATCTTACCAAATGAAATTACAAACAGGCAATACTCAACATTAGGTGTATCTTTAATTAATTTAACACTGCCACGATTTCTTCCCGTGTAATTCATTGCTTTGCGAAATCTTCTTTTCTGTAAGATTTCCCATTCATGGAGATCGTTCGGCTGGCTGACTTCCTAGCTTGCAGTAACTCGGATAATTTCATAGCTTGCTGTAATGAACGATTCCTTTCTCAGTTTTCTTAAAACATGTGTTGCTGTTTCAGGTTAGCCTTCAGTTCCTTGAGAAAACGCAGTATTTCTTTTTTTTTTTACTAGTCGTAAGACTGATGGTTCGATTCATAACACCTTTTAAAACTTGCCTGGCATTGCTGTTGTCACAAACTAAACAGTGCATCTTTCCATACATCGTTGTGCACAAATACAGTTCCCATTTTTCGTAAACACTCAACCTACCACCTCCTTAAGAAGCATGTCGTAAAAGGCTAATTAGGGCTTTCCCCACCAAAGTCGGACTGCATCTGCCTTAGAAGCGTTAAGTGATAAACAAACAGTCTGCATACAAGCAAGCCATAATCGTAAAATGGATGTGCACACACAACTAAAGTTCTGGAACAAGAATAAATTCCAGAAGTGGAAAATAAGATAGAACTTTACACCGCATTTTACAGCTGGTGAACGCTAAAAAGAAGATTACGAGCCAGTCTTTCTTGATGTTCAGATCTTTTAGAATGTAGGCATTCTTTTTTTTCTTTCTCCATGATTTTCTGAGATTCTTTCTACATTAAAACCAGGTTAACGTGAACCCACTTAAGAATGGCTCCCAACCTTCTCTTAGTGCCAGTAATGCGGGGAAGTAGCGTGCAGATTATATTGCTGACACTGCGGTTGCTATGCGACAGCCCCTAAATCCTCAGGATCACTACCCCCTGTCTACTCCGGCCTTAAAAAAAAAAAAAAAACCAGTAAAAGAGACAGTAGTGTTGAGAATAATAGTATACTGCGATGACATGAACATAATTTTGGTCCTAGTCGGGGTTTATTATTATTATAATTATTATTATTAGTCACTGGTTAGACCGATGTTTTGGTTGAAACGCACCTGTCGTCGGTCCATTGGAATTAGGGCCGTTCCTGTGCCAGATTAGGACATTATCAAGGGTTAACCTAAGTAACGTTAACACCTGTAAAATGAAATGCATGTGAAAAGACGAGGTAAATTAACACCTGTGAAATAAGACACCCAAGAAAAGACGCCAACTTAACTATACGAGAAAAGGTTAGAAATGATATTGATACTATCAGACAGATTGTGTGAACGACCAAATTTACCGAGAAACCGAAGATCAAATTGTTTGGTCATTTGGTAAAAATGCATTCAGAACAACTACCAACGCAGGCGCCACACACGAAAAGATCTGATGTGAAACCGAGATGTCGCTAGAGGAGAAAATGACTAATAACATTAAAGATTTTCTACATCAACACGGGATGACAGTCAATAGCCATTGCGGCCCTTCAAGCAATGGATCGCAAGCTGTTATTTCCCAGGCCGCTTACAGCAGAAGTGGAAAGGAGTGATGATGATGATAATGAATGTGGTTCCAAGCGATGCTCCGCGGAGCCGCAATGTTCGTTTTTCTCTCTGACCTTTGACATTGCTTTTGTGGTTCAAAGGTAAGTTAGTTCTTTTCTCAACATCTTGTCGTTATTTCAGTCTATAAACATATGTTAACATCAATGTTTGCAGTCTTGTTGAATTAGTATTAGGAATGCGCCACTGTGCATTTCTTATCTCTTATAAAAATTTGTTTAACGCATCTATGTTTTTATGACATAGTATTAGTATCAAAACCCAGATAAACTCATTTGGTACTAAAACAACTTATACACGGTCCGACAATTAAGTAATGAAAACTGATTTTATTATGGCCAAGAAAAAATTACCATCTGTGAAGCAAAGCATGGAATCTAAAGAGGCAACATTCATCTGTGATCTGGCAACTTTTCATCGCTGCTCCATAAGTAGACAACAACCAGTCAGAGTTGCATTGTTACGTAATCAGCACAGAACAAAAAGCTAACATTATATTCTTTTTAGAAAAAGCCATTGAAACAGCTTAATTGATGCAACAAGTTTATGGGGAAAATTGTTTATCTCGGGCACACATTTTCAGGTGGTATTCACAATTCAAAAGTGGTGTGGAAATGATTACTAATGCACCCAGACCTGGACGTCAAATTTGAAATTTCTTTTCGCAATGATTAACTCATTACAAAAGGCACAGAACGGATTCAAGAAGATCATTGTTTTACTGTGAGGATGATGGCAGATGAACCTGGTATTATTAGAGACCCCATTCAGAACATTTTAGTGCAAGATTTCAGCAAGAAGAAAGTTGCTTGCCGGTTTGTACCATATGCGTTGTCTGATGACCTAAAAACATCAGTGGGTTGAGAATTTTTTACCCTAAAATAAGTATGTTCTCACCTTTCACCTTATTCCCAAAATTTGTCTCCCTGGGATTATTTTCTGTCCCGAAATTAAAGTTACAATTGAAAGGACACTTCTTTAATGATATTGATGACATCCAAAGGGCCGTAAAATCGACTTTGAGGGCCATATCAACAGAAGAACCACAGAGGTCGTTCCAGTGTTTGTTAGATCGTGCCACTTGCTGTATCAATACACAAGGGGCTTACTTTGAATCAGATCCAGGTTATATCTTCAACTGTTGATTATTATTTTAATTTTTATAGAATTAGCCTCCTTACCTAATTGCCGGACCTTGTACATTCATTGAATGTAAATAGTTGACTATTTTTACTTGTTTCTATCACAGCCAAGTATATTACCTCATTGTATTTAATATGTGAACTTAATTCCTTTTGATCCGGTGACCTTTTAACTCATCCAGACTGAAATACTGGCAATTTTAAAACAATGCTTCTCAATATAGAAAGAGTTGATAACCGGTGCTGTTTTTATTAAATTACTACTACTTGTGAATAAAATAGTGTTTTACAAACAACTAACTTAACCCGGTTAGGCGACCGGCGGGATGCTGACCACATCCCCAATCTTGTACTGATTGGTCAATAATATATAGGTCTAGCCCTATACGCCCAAAGGCTTAGAAAAGGGTCCTTTACTTTTTTACTACCATTAATAAGGATGTAGTGAGACAAAATTAAGTGTATTGTGGTGAGGAGTAAGGAGTCCTTTAAATCTTTCACAAATAGTTGTTAATTAAAATTTTTATGCAATGCAGTATTCACAAAAGTTGTTAATTTTTCTCCCTGTTATCTCCACTCACATACTTTATATCATTCTTCCCCCGTGGTTCTGGGGTCTTAATTTGGTGAGAACAAAGGATAAAAAGGATATACCCATTACCTCTCTCTCCCCTAAAATGTATATATATATATTGTAAAAAGTGACTAATTATGGGTTTTGCTGAAATCAGGTGTATTGAGGTGAAAGGCACAGATATTGCAGCCTAGCTGTAAATCTGAATACAGCATGCAAATTGGTCTTTTAAGAGTGAACACAGCTGAAGAAATCATTCTTAACCTTACTGTTATTTTGTTTCACCTGTTCACATAATATTTGAACACCATTAAGTAGCTATCTCAGGGTCATTTGTGTGTTTTTTGTTTGTTTTCTGATTAATGATTGTAGATGCAATGCTATGTTTTGTTAAGCTGACATATTCTTTATGTTCCAGTTTCTTATGTCTTCCCCACTCAAAGCATATGCTAGCCTTCAACTAACGCACTCCAAAACTCCTTATCTGTTGCCATCTCATGCAGCTCCAGTCATATTCTTTCCATGTTATTCATAGCGCTGTATTTAATTATTTTCCACATTTATTTTATTCATGTCCCTATTTCTTTTGCCCTCAGGGTTCCAGAAAAAATAGTTTCATATTCTAGTTATACCCCATCAGATCTTCTTGCTGTGACCCTGGTTGCATCATATTATTAAAATCTATCTTAGGCTCTTCATTGATTATTCTGTCATAACATTTTATTCTTTCTCTTTTGGGCAGACACCAGTGAATGAATGTTTGTAGTTTACTGGTAAATATCTTAGTAATTTTCCAAGATTTTGTCCAATACACCAGAAATAATTGATTACAGAGTTAAATATTCTAAGCTTTGCACTAGTTTAACCATTACAGTGCCAGAATATCCTGCAGCAAAAGACTAAGGGTCACAGATCATAATGCTTTTATTGAGTTTATGATTGTCTATGCAGTCCCAAGAGCTTCAGTTTCTAAAGAATTTAAATCAGGGGTGGGTAAAGTTTGGCCCACCAAGCAAATTTTACTATCCTGCGAGGCCAGTTTAAAATTACTGTATGATCTGGCCTTGAGCTCACATAACGGCAGAACACAAAAATATATGTTCATATATATAAAAGAGCTTCAGTGGGTGGTTGTGTGGCCAGAGGTATAGTGGGAGGATTATAATATTAAATTATCTCACAAAAATATCGTGTTACAAGGACATCTAGCTGTTATGTTTATAATAAATGTTTTTCTATGTGGCCAGTGACCAGATTGGCAATTCTGAATTTGGCCTGCAGACCAAAAATGAGGCAACCTTTTTACTGTTTGCACATTTGTGAAATATATATATTTATATATGTATGTATGTATGTATGTATGTATGTATGTATGTATGTATGTATGTATGTATGTATGTATGTATGTATGTATGTATGTATGTATGTATGTATGTATGTATGTATGTATGTATGTATGTATGTATGTATGTATGTATGTATGTATGTATGTATGTATGTATGTATGTATGTATGTATGTATGTATGTATGTATGTATGTATGTATGTATGTATGTATGTATGTATGTATGTATGCATGCATGCATGCATGCATGCATGCATGCATGCATGCATGCATGCATGCATGCATGCATGCATGCATGCATGCATGCATGCATGCATGCATGCATGTATGTATGTATGTATGTATATATCCTTTGCTTACAATATTTACAAACAATCAGACAACTTTTATTACAACTATTTTGTGCTTTCTGGCTAACCTGTTCATTTGTATTTGTTATTTAGCAAGCTAGGATTTCAAGTAGGCATGTAGGGTCATAATAGGTTGTCTTTCTGGTGTGAATGTACAATTTTTATTGAGATATTTCTTCAACATAACTCAAAGGCTCTTTTCGTTGACTAACTTTGCAGATTTGAGCTGACACGGCTGTCATGTCACAGGTACGTTATCCACCAGCAGGCTTTGTGGCCCCAGGATTTGAAAAAGTGCTTGCTGTTTTAAGGTAGGCATCACAATGACAGTTAAACAACAACATTCTGACACTGTTTTGGTAGTCAACAATCTAATCATGAACGTACAAATGAGATGTAATTTAAAAGCATTAATCATTCAGTAGTCGATATCTGTGGCTTAGGCATTCCGAACACCCTTTTCAATTTTGAGATACCCAGTTCAAGTTCAATTCCAGCTACAGGTATCTTTGCATTGATTTCAACAATGGTATTGAGAGTTCACCATTCTGAAAGCAATGGAAAACTACTGAAGGTAAAACTCTGGTTAAAACAGCTAACAAATGCTGGGGCTGGTTCTGCAACATACTATAAGAAGATATGCAGCTAACTAAATATCTTTTAGTTAAGGAAATATTGCCCTGCATGATCTTTAGATCAGCTAATATAAACCTTTTTTGTTGCATAAATAAATACCAAACCGCCAACATTATGTTAAATAAGTATGTTATTTATGTTATTATGTCAAATAAAGTTTGTTATTTCATTTGTTCGTTCACTCATTATTTGCCATTTTGGGCAGTGTGGGCAATCAGGGAGGGCTATTTGAATCAGATCTGTATTGTTGTCCACATTATGCCATTTGAATAATTTCTGTAGGTATTATTACGTTTTATACACTCTGGATGTGACTGATTATTTGAAACTGTGAGCTGTTAAAACATAATATATTATAGGTGTACACCTTGTTTTCTTTTTCTCCACTTCCCAGTTTGTCTACTTCCCTAGCCTTTGTCCAAAGAAATAAATCCTGCAAAAGAGTAGGGGGAGGGGGGGGGGATGTGCTGTTGATTGTCACAAACTTTTAATGTTTTTTTAATACAATTAGATGCTCCACACACGCAACGCACCTCCTCTTCATGTCCATAACTGGTGTTTATTCACAGCCATTTATTGTATTTCATCCGACTGCCTCTTTATGTAGAGGTCATTTCAATATCCGCCACCTGGTGCATGCTTCAACCACATTACTATAAAATACATGGCCCAGTGGCAGGGACAAGTTGATAGATGGCTAAGTTTAATTAAGACACTTTTATAATGTGTCTGTTTAAACAGATTTAATTTTGTTAAAGCAAAGTTCTAGATTAAATTAGCTCACACCAGCTAAATTCTTTATGACCATCACCAGGTTATGCAGTTTCACAATTCTCATTTACTAGAAGTTTCAGTTTCTTACATTGTGACTAAATAAAATAAATGATTACTGTTTTTAAGTGATAGTTTTGCCAGAGGCATAGACAAAGGTTGCAGCTTTGCAGCATATTACAGAGGTCAACCAGTTGTGAATATTTGGGGTGGTGTTGCTGACAAAGCTTGCAGACGTCCATGGAAGGAAGACACAATGGGATTTTTTCACTCTACTACAAAATTTGTAGCATGTGTGACAATCGCCCATTTGATTGAAAGGTATTTAATAGTTAAATAAGATAGTTCTGTATCTCTGTTACAGATAATGAAAGTAAGGTCACATGTCAACAGCACCGAGTAGACAAGAGAGCAACTTGAATTATGTGAATTAACATAGAAGTAGTCACTGAACATCTTAAATTCCCTAATGATTCTACAGTACAGCCTATAGTATTTAGCTGAATTGACCAACCACAAATAAATTCTAAGTCTTTGCAATAAGACAGATAAATGCAGCAATTTTATTAGCTCTGATTTTCTCAGATGGACACATAAAATACAATTAAAATATTTGTTCAAAATATGTCTCATATTGCATCGTTATGCTTGCAGTTTGCACTATTTACAAGTAATTTTAGCTGATTTAGCATGTAATAATTTTTAATTATTGCTTCACTGCTTTATTAAATCTAAGAACATCACTACCCTATAATTTAAATTTGTCATAATATTATGTCAAAGGATTTGTAAAGTATAATGAATTAAATATCAAATGAAAGACAAATGAACATTGCAGATCTGTTTACTGTTACGGTGCATTTTACCTTGTTAGCCTTTCTTTTGGAAATATAATTAGGGTATTTGGAAAAAAAATTCTCCTTTACACATAAGATCTTTAATAAAATACATATTTTTTAAAATTTCAATTAACTGTAATCATTTTTGGCTATATGTAAAAGAAGCCAGGGAATGAAAGAAAAGCTTGTTAGTTTAAAAAAAAAAATTTAATTGTAGTGAAAAATTAAAAAACAGATCATCTTCGTAACATAGAACATCTATGTTTTGAATACATTATTTAGTGCTGCAACTATGATTTTTGGGTAAATGTATTATTTACTGATGTTATATTTTTTGGGATAAAATATACTACTCAAATGTTGGAAGAGAAAACATCTCATTATGCAGATTGTAAATCATTGTTTGACTATGGTAAATCATTTTTAGTTTGAGTTATTTAACATTGAGTTACAGTAAAGTCACTTTTAGTAACTTCTCTGACAATAAATCTAACCATGATAAGTTTCCACGGTTGATAGATAATCCACAGTTATTATGTTTGTAGAATGTTGACCACTGTTTTGGTCTTCCACACACAAAAAAGGAAAAGTAATATTTTCAGTCAACATCAAATATGATTTGTACAAAGCATATGCTTAAATGAGTGCTTCCAATCTGTTTAAATTCTGATGCATAAGGTTAATAAACAAAAAAGTAAAAAAAAAAAAAAAAACAGTAATGGAGGTTATAATACTGGAAAAGATAGGCAGGAGCTGACCAGCACAAGAAATAGAAGATACTCGTATTTCAGACATGAAAGTGCATGAGGCAGGAAAACTGAATATTCTAGGAATTGTCTGGTACCAGTTTTTATGAAGCTAGGTCTTCTTATTCTTTTTCTTGTTCACTGGCTGTAAACTCTGAAAGAAAGCTTTAATTGTATGTCTATTTTTGGACTTTAGTCTTGTTCCAGAATGTTAAATTTGTGTGCACATCTGATTTATAAATCTGGCAAATTTGTATGCATACTGCTGGCTCTCTGACTCTCAGGTAGATACACTCCGACTTCAAAGGAAACCCATTAGTTGACTCTTATGACATGCTTGTTAGGATAGCAGTGAGTCCCCCTTCCCCTTCCCACAGTAGGCCCCAGAGCCCACAAAGAAAAAAGCTGTAGGGTTAAACAAAAATTGTGCCACTTCTGGAGACTGAACCAGGACTGCTGTCTTGGCAGGCAAGCACACTAACCACTACACCACCACTGAGACTGTTGTGCTGGAAATCAAATTAAAAATACCTTATTATATATTTTGTTTTAATGCCCAATATTTAGTTTGATCTCAGTCTTATTCATTTTATGTGTTCTCTTTAAACGACAGTGGTCTGTTAAAGTATGATGACACAGTTGCAGCACACTGGCCAGAATTTGCTCAGAATGGAAAGGAAAATATAACTCTGGAAATGCTTTTATCATATAGGGTATGTATGTTATAATGGCTGACTGTTGCTACAAACTTGACATAATATGCTGGTTGATTAACTTTACCTGAAAGCTTATTATTCAAAGAAAACATGTAGATTACCAACTGGAAGAATTCTAAAAAGAATTTTAAGCTTTCATTTTTTTATTTGTTTTATTCGGTGTGCTTAGGATTGTATACTTAACACTTCAGTGATTTCTATTCATCTTTTCTCAGATTGGTTATGTAAGGTAACATCTTTTTTAGAGTTCTTCATTCGATACAAAATATGACTCATTTACTATGACCCCATCAAGTGGGATAATTTGAATACTTGGTATTTTTCATTTTATTTCCTTCACTTCCAGGCAGGTCTTGCAGTTTTAAGCGAAAATTTTGATGTGAGATGGATGATAGACAATCCACGTCTGCTTCATGATATGCTTGCAAGACAGAGGCCATTTTGGACACCAGGTCATTAGGAAGAAATATGATAACTGTAACCTTAGTCAGTTGTGATTCACGTTTGTAGTATTATTCAAAACAATAATTACAATAAATTTAAGTTATCAGTCAGTGAGGTGTCAGCTCCACAGTGAAACTTTCTGCAGTGAATATCATCAATTTCAGTTTTTGTGTGTGGCTGGCAGACTTCATTTCCTCCATCTCTTATTCTTATCTTTCATTTTATCCTCATCCACCTCTTGCTTGCCTGTCAGACGTTTCCCACCATAAGTGTGCCTTCTCTTGCAATGTGGTCAGAATGTTTTTCAACCACTTTTTTAATTTGTTTTTTTAAATACTAACCTTTATCTCCCTCTTTATATTCCCAGCTTCTAAGGCTTTTTCTGCATTAAAACTTACATATCCTTCTGTATCTTTGCCAGATCTGGGACCTCTTTTGATTTTGATTTTGATAATTCATTGTCAAAACATATGCAGTATTATAAATACATATATAACACTTATCTATTCTTATTTTTAATTTATTGTTTCTCTCTTTTAATATTAATATTTGTTTCATGTGGTTGAACATATTTTACCATTACTATTCTGTTTTTGATTTTTGTTTCACTTCTACCATCATCTCATATTATTTATCAAAGATATGAGAAATTAATTACATCCGTGTGCTGTGACAGTAATTGTAGGTTTTAAAAATTGTATTTCTTTGTATAATATTAAATATATATATAAAAATTTTAAACCAAAAGCTGCAAACTGCCTGTTAGCAAATTGCTTATTTTGTTGTTGTATCTCCACAAGGTCCTCGTGCTCCTGCTCATTTTCTGCTAGTAACAGTGCCATGGATCTGTGGCTTAGGCGTTGCAAACACAATTCGTAATGCCAGGGTGTTGGATTCGAACCCAGCTGCGGATGGTTTGTCTTGTGTTGGTTTTGCCAGTGGTACCAAGAGCTGACCATTCAGAAGCAATGGCAAACTTCTGAATGCAAAATTTGCCTAGAAAAACCACAACAGCCCCAAAAATGCAGAGGTTGGTTCTGCAAAGTCTTGTAAAGGATATGCAACTAACTAACACTGCCATGGAGCTTTTAAATGTCATTTATTATTCTTGCTTTGTTGGTGGATGGTTTAGGAGGGAAGCTCTAGCAGGCAATAAAGAAAAGAACTTCTTTTCTAATCCAGCAGCTTCTGCAGCATAATTTCTTCCTCACATGTTATCTTTCCTCTGGAGTAAACAAGGCAGGTAGAAAAAGAGGGACCATGCTGCATCGGCTTTGTGCTAAGAGTGGAGGAACTTCCCTGGCCTTAATTGGCTGTGATCCCATGCCTCTCCACTATAACACTATTGACTGGAAAGACTGCAAGGTGCAAAAGAATAATTATTTTGTTGTTGTTGCTATTCAATCCATACATTTATTTTTCTGCTTAAAAGTGTTTTAAAATGTTTTTATGTACAGACTGAGAGGATAAAGTGACAAAATTTAAAGAAAAACACATCTGCAATACTTGTTTAAAATAAATATATATATATTTCTCTCCTCGTTCCCCCGCCCTCTAATCTTAATATAAGTAAAGAAGCAGTGAACCCATTTTCATCTAATGAGGTATATGAGGAATGGTACTAGCTAAATATTTTTGGATGAGATCTGTTATTTTCTTCCTACCAGCTTCATAAACCTGTAGAAGCAGTTTGTTTCTATGTGCAATATGATTATGTTATCACAAGAGTACATATACTGCTTTACATGTTTATTTATTTTACCTTATAATCATCATAACTATAAGTTCATTAATATTTTCTTTAGTTGAGAATAACTTGCTCATTATTCTTACTGATTTGATTATATAGACACAGCTCATGGATATCATCCAATTACTCTTGGTTTGTACCTCAATGAGATTGTAAAGAGAGTTGACAAAAAAGGACGCAATTTATCTCAATACTATCAGGAAGAAATTGCACAACCATTTGGTAAGTATTTATGATTTTGTTTACAGTCAAAAGGTAAGTATATGTGTTTATCAATGTGTAGGGAGGCCAACAATACTATGAATTTTCAATAAAAATTATACAGAGGGAATAAATCAACTTTAATATTTCAGTGTGGAGAAAATACACAATTTTCATGAAGTCTTGGCAAACAATTAAAAAAAAATCATAAAAGAAAATGCATATCTGCAGTAAAATTAAAGGTGTATTCTATAATTTTATTATTTATGTGTTGATATCATTCCATGCCATGATGCAAGATTGACAATAACCTTCTCTTTTTTCCCTCAGTCTTTTTTTTTTTAACCCTAAAAATATTATGTTGTTTTCTTCTCAAAATGTGTCCACAATATTTTTGATATCTTTGTTTCCCTCTGGGATTTGGCACTGCAAATGTTTGGATTAAATTTGGGTAGAGGATATCTAACATGTGTTATACAAATTTACTAACATTATTACCATCTTTCTCTTTGGGGAAGTACACAGAAATTCTAACACTGAATACTGTCTTCTTAATTTCTCCCTTATGCTTGTAACATAAACACAACAATATAACATGTCTGATTATAACAACCCTTTGTTTTCCAGAAAGGTTTTATAAGATAACTAAATGTTTTATGTGAGAAAAAGAGTGTTTAAAAATATAAATCAAGTTTCACCTTACACATAAATTGTTGACATTAGAACTTGAAATCTCATAACAAATCTGTCCTAAACAATAAAATAATCTTTGAAACTGTATTAAATGCTTTAGATGTTTATCCACAGGCATAGATTTCTTCATTGGACTTCCAAAACCTTTGCAACACCGAGTTGCAAGACTAGAGATTATAGAATTAACTCCAGATTTTAAGGAGCAGCAAATGAAAACATTCAAAGGAAATTTAACTTTAATGAAGCATTCTTTGACTCAACCAAAGGATTGGAATGCAGTAAGTCTGTAAATCTGTTCATTATGGTTTTAGGTTTTTTGAGGTGCTGTGAGTAAAGAAGCTAAATACTTTTATTATTAAAAAAAAAAAAAAAAAAACAGCTGACATCCACAGTAAAATCAGAATTATCATATGTTGTATAAAAATACAGATCTTGCACCATATACTTGTCTTAACTGTAGTTTTCTAATAGTTTTCCTCTTTTTAACTGTTGTTTTCTTTTCATTATATTTGTCCTTGAAAATTATCTACCTTTTTATTTTATGTGTAGTTAGGTAAAAGATTCAAGAGACATTCTGTGCCTTTTCTTTTCTTATAATCCTTTTCCAAGTTATCAAATACAATTTTTTTGCTTGTGAGAAAGTTGAAGTTGCCTGATATTCTACAGGCAAGGAAGTTAAATGATCCAGACTTTATGGAGATTCCATTACCTTCCTCGCACGGTGTTGGAACAGCTCTTGCTATGGCCAAACTGTCTGGAATTTTGGCTAATGGTGGAAAACATGAGGGAAAAACTTTGCTACCTCCTAAGTCTATAGCTAAGCTCCAGGAGCCTCTATCCTATGGGTTGGATTTACTTACATCAGGCCATGACATTAATGGGCGAGGGACTTGGCTCATCCCAGTTGTGGAAGGCAAGAAGGTAGGTACATTTCAGCTTCTTTCTTAAATTTGTTTACTAGGATACATTCATACTTTGCAAGAGACATATTTTATATTTCAGTTTATTTTCTACAGTTTCTTTGATCATTCTCTCTTTCACAATTCTCGATGTCTGTTTCATTGCCACTATTCTGTCAATCAAGACTACAGTGTTATATTATGCTATTTGGAGGAATGGGAATCACAAACTATAGCAATAGAAAGTGTTACTAACCAGACCCACTCACATAAAGAAAAGACTTCCACAATTAGAGTACGGTATTTCAAGACTGTATTCAACATATTTGTTTTCAGATGTTAAACTCTTAACCTGTCCTCAATCATTTTCTCCTATATCTCTATTCCCTTCATTCATCAGAAATGCAGGGAGTTGACAGCAGACACTGTTTGCGTTTTTGTTTTGTTTTGCCTTTGCGCTTTTCTAGGCAAATTCTTCTGCCAGATCGCCAGCAGCTGGGATTGAACCCGCCACCCCGGCACTATGAAGCACGTTCGCAAGGCCTAAGCCACAGGCACCAACACTGCAGATCAGAAATTCAACAACTTATGATAATTCCCGCCTGCTGAGGTGATCATGAATACAGGAACTGTTTTGGAAGCCAGGAACAGTGCAAAAGTCATGTTCCCATAAATCCATATCATGTTGTTCGTCCATCACAAGTGATGAGGACCACTTTTTCTTTCATCTGTCTTGAATTAAATGTTTGTGGGTCCAGAGGGGATTTATAAGTCCAGTGTGTGCCCGGAAGAGTCTAGGACAATGAGGGCAGGGCATAGTGTCTGTAGATAAAAGGCCAAGTCCATATCAGTACCTGTATCCCTCACACCCCGCTTATATACTCTTTATATCAAACTTAACAGTTTCAGGCCATCTGTAATTCAGCATAGAGAAAGTTTTTAGGTTCTCCACAATCTTCTATCTTCTGAGTGTGTCCTAGCCATCTGAGCCTTCAATGGTTGAGAACTGAGAAAACTGTTACTTAACTTCTCAGTGTCTCATGCAGTGGTCTATCCTGCAAGCTAATGTGAAGTATTTTTTTTTAAAGCTGTAGACATTGCATCTGTATGCTATTCAGCCATTTCTCCTCTGCATTACATTTTACCACCAACCAGAAGAGTGTAAAAGACACACGCTTGATATACATGAGATTTTGTTTTAACTAGGAGTTTTTTTGTTCTCCCAAATTCATTGTGTTAATCTGCTCATTGTTGTTGCTGTCTCACAGTTGATTTCTTGCACTAGTGATATTTTTAAAAATTTACTTTGGATCGCCCCCCACACCCCAAGTAAGTTGAAAAAAAAAAAGTTAACTGTCTCCAGCTCTTCACTCTTAATGAAGACTGCAGGTCTATCTGTAGCACCTTGCACCATAATTACCCCCCCCCCCCCTTTTCCACATGCACACCTCTGCTTGCCGACACAGCTGGTTACTTACATGCATGCACCCACATGCTAATACTGCGCCCCCCCCCCCCCCCCCCCCATCCATGCACACGTGGGAGACCCAGGTTTAACATACCGGTAAGGCGATGGAGCTTTTCTGATGAAAGCAAAATTAAACATCCTAGCCTGCAGTTCATGGTGACAGCACTAGCCGTGCAGCCTTAAACCCTCAGGCTGACGACCCCCTGTCTACACCTCCATAAAAAGTTGTACATATAGACAGTAGTGACAGTTTTACAGTTTTCTTATATTTAACAGAGTTGCATGTTTACATTGCAGACCTGGTTTATGTTTGGACATGCTGGATTCGGAGACCAGTGCAGTGCAGCAGACCCTCAGTATAAAGTTGGCTGGGCCTATATCACAAACTACCTGGACCCTTCAGCTAATCTCACTGGAAGAAACAAGTGGCGACCACTGGTTGCAGCTCTGTTTGAATGTGTTCACAAACTAGAGAACGTTCAAGTAGAGAGAAAATTATTGAGTACATATGATGAGCTGGAGCATTTAAGACTGTCTCTAAAACAATGTAGCCACTTGTGAAAGATCAACAGAACATCCACATAATGAAAACTATCCCAAGCTTGGAGCTGGAGAACTGGAGCAAGAAATTTCTCCTCAAGCTAGAACATTAGGGATAGAAATAACTCCAAGCTGCTATATTATCCTCAAACTGTAGACCATTGGGTTTATAACCTGTTTAAAATCAAATAGATTTGTTTGCCAGGGTTGGTTTCATCTAAAAAAACAAAATGCTAACTTTATCAAAAGCATTTCTACATGTCATGTATTATGAATAATTACACTCAAGGACCATCATCATGTCGCTTCAAATGGTCCACCTTTGCTCTAGCACCCTCATTCTATTCATCACACAAGAAGACTCAGCTCAGTGCCTGAGATTTGTAGTGAGGACTTTATTCTATGAGTCATTGGTAACGCTTTATTTTACGGGTTATTGGTAAAGTAAAATAAAATAGTTGTGAAAATGACACAAAAGTCCAGAGCCACCGCAAATATAACTTTGGACAGTGAACAGATTTAAGATACATACTGAAGAAAACTGACCCTAGAGAAACTGGGCAAGCTGGAAACATCCTGTTTTCAAGGCTATCTGCATCAATCCTAATTTAACTACTGAGAAAATACATGGCACAGACCAGAGTTAGTGTAGAAAATGGTTTTCTGCCCTGAAACTGATAAACTTTTGCAGTAAATGACCAAATTTGATGCATAAACCATTTTAATAAAACTGATTCACTTTAGACAATAAAACACATAAGGTGATACATTTTTTTAATTTTAAAGTAAATATTCCCAGATTTAATGAGTTGTTATTGCCAAAAATAGTTAGATTGTTTGTCACACTTTAAGTTTTTGCTTGCTTTTTAATCAGACTTAATCAATAAATATGATTATATACTTGATGATACAGAATCACTAACTGTTCTGTGGCAAAAACTGGTCTATGCATTCACAAGGAAATAAATTAATGTTGTAGGAAACATTCAGCAGGTCACATTGACTATATATATTATTGTATCTTGTCTGTCTCTGCTTGTGAGTGTTGATTATAAACATTGATGTTTCATATGGGTATATAATTGTCAATGTACTTAATTATCAATATAGTGGTCTGGCTCCTCTGTAGTGGTCAGACTGTACCTTAATAAGCTTTTCTTTTTGTAGACAAGTAACGATTATATGAAGTTTCAAATGAAAACTTAAAAGTGTTATAGAAATTACAGTAACCATGTCATTGTCTTAAGCCTGTCAACATTGTCAAGAGTGCTGAAAGTCATCACGGTGCAGACAAACACAGTGACATCATAATGACAGCTTAACTCTTTGAGTCCCAGGGGGTTTAGCATCACAGGCCCAAAGGTAGTAAAGAAAGTAATAAAATCAGCGCATCATGCATTCATTGGGCTTCTAGGTAGGAACCTATGAACATTTGATGCGTTCCTTGGGACTCAAAGAGTTGAAAATGGTCACCCCACTTTTGACATGCACTAAGGAGGAGCAGTCATCTGTTATCCATTTTTTAAACAATAAAGAGGTGAAACATAGAATTTCATCTCAAATGAAGATCCAATCTGGTGATGTATGCCTGTAAGTCCATCAAGTGAATGAGTGAAGTAGTAAGTTTCAATAAAATTATGACTTCTGTGGCAAAACTGTTCACGGCTGAGTCAGGCACACAAAGTAGTGACCCCAGAGTTGATTGCAGTTGTTGAAAGCCTTATAATACAGGAAAACTGCTGATTGACTGTGAATCACATTGTCACACATACTGACATCAGTCAAGGTTCCATGCTACATCATCTGTGATGTGCTACAGAACTGCAAAATATCTGCAAGGTGGGTGCCATGACAGCTTACTACAGAACTGAAATGATACATTGATACTTGTCTAGAACCTGTGCATGCTTTGAAGCAGAAAGTGAAGATATCCTATCAACAATTGTTTCTGGAGATGACAACTGGAGATAAAAACTTAGTTTACTAATAAAATATGGAAATAAAGAGAGCCAGCAAGGAGAGGTGCAATATCTCCTCACTGAAAGATTTTTGTGTGCATGTGACCAGTTAGTGAGTGAGTTATTTGGGTTATCATCATTGCACAAATTATGTAAGAACAGCAGACCAAAAGTCAGAAGAATTTAAGACCACCAGCGGTGTTAGACAAGGTGATATTCTCTCACCTTAACTCTTCATTCTTATGATGGATGATGTCATCAAGACCTGTAAGGAGAAGACAAAGAAGTACTCTGTAGGGTACTGGAAGATGAGACCAATCTGTATATCAGAGCTGGCTTTTGCAGACGATGTGGCCCTGATAGCTAAATCAGAATAACACCTTCAGTCCAACTTACTTGTCTGGAAGGAAGAGCTTGAAAAGAAAGGGATGACCATCAGTGTCTCCAAAACTAAAACCATGGTGATCTCAAGAGAGGAGAAGAAACACCAGATCATGATGGGACAGTATGCGTTGGAGCAGGTTAACCAGTTCAAATACCTTGGAGTTGTATTAGACCAAAATGGAGGCATTAAGACTGAGCTGGCTACACGAAAAGCAGCTGCTGGGAGACTCTTTCAGGCCATAAACCGAGGGTTTCTTAGCAAAAGAGAAATTGGCAAGAGGACGAAAATGGCTGTTTACCGCTCTACCTATGTACCAGTCCTGACCTATGGGTGTGAGTCATGGGCAATGACAACAGCTCACAGGAGCCAGCTGCAGGCCTCGGAAATGAGATACCTGAGAAAGGTGGTCCAAGTGACAAGAAGGGACAAAGTCCGCAATCAGACAATACGTCAAGATCTTGATACCCAGCCCTTACTAACCCGAGTGGATCAGTCACAGTTACGATGGTTTGGACATGTGTGCAGAATGGGAAAAAATCGGCCACCATGGCAAGCATGGGAGGCTAAGAACCAGGGAACCAGACCTCCGGGACGACCCAGGGTGCGCTGGGAAGACAACATCCGTCAGTCCCTGACTGACAGAGGACTGGAATGGAACAAAGCCAGAAAGAAAACTGCTGATAGAGACGTCTGGCGATCTCTCTGGCAAACCTCTACACCCCAAGGTAGAAGAGGAGCGACTAAGTAAGTAAGTATCATCATTGCACTCCGGACATGTCCATAGGTGCTCAGATCCTCCCCTCAGTATTAACCCCAATACCCGATGGCTAATAGTACCAGTTCTATGTTGATTAACAAGTCGTCTGGTGTGCGTCTCGTTTTTTGCTATGCCGATCCTGATTCCTAAGTCTGCCATTCTGGCAAGTGATGTGGATTCACTGCCCCAAAATCCTCTATCTTTCCCATTTCTCTGAGGGCATTAATATCATCAGCCTGATCCATCGGCTGACCGTCGGTAGTGATAGCGGATCAAGCTAACCTATCAGCTCTTTCATTTCCATTGACGCCTGCATATCCCGGAACGAAAATAAAGGTGACTCCACACACAGGGGACTTCTGTAATGATTCAAGCCATTGTCTTCCCACCGAACCTACCTGAACTCTCCACATCCTACTCATTGAATCACTGAGTATGCATACGTGGGTGTAGTTTTGTGTTTTGAGCCAGGCGAAAGCTTGCGTTACTGCCATCACCTTCATTGTCATGCTGCTGGTTGTCATGGAAAAGGCGCCTTTAGCTTCTTTGACTTTTCTGCCTGCTGAGCATGCTGTAAATGCCCATGCGCTTCTTTTTTGGCATATAACGGATCCGTCCGTGTAGATTAGTGCACCTGCTTCGGTTGAATTTTCACTGATGATACCGTTGACTTCTGCATTAACAGCAATAGGATTCTTTTCTCTACATCGCCTGTTAAGTGTGGCAATACAGGAAAATGTACAAATAAACGCATGAGGCACAAGTATCTGCTCTGCACCAGGGGTGATGTTGGTTAGGCTGCATATTTGCCTAATAACATCTTCTGCCTGACCTAGCCACGATTTTCCCCCTCTTCAGCCTGTCGCCCTTTTCACGAAAAAGCGCTTGATTTAGTGGGTGTTTCTTATCAGCACATATTTTAAGGTATGCCCGAGCCCTCCAGATCCTGATCCTTTGGTTCATAGTTGGAAAGTCAAGTAGATATCTCATTGCTCCACAGAATGTGTCTCTTGTACATCCCAAAATAATGCGCATGGCTTCATTTTGCACCTCTTCAAGTCGTTCAATCTGGGTAGCCCTGACAGTGAGGATGGCCAGAGCGTATTCAATGGGGAAAAGGACCAGACCATAGAAAAAAAGTATTAGTTGTCTTTTCTAGATATTGGAAGCCATAATCCTCATTGCAGATAGACCTTTGCGTGCTTTTGTTATCACATGGTCAACATGTTCCTTGAATGACAAGCTGCGATCAAACCTCACCCCGAGAAACGTCATAACGTTGGTTCTGATCAACACATTATCACGCATTTTCACTTCTGCTAAGTCCGACTTGACAATGTGATTGTTCAAAGAGAACCATGAAACTGATGCCTTCGAAAGATTGACATAGGTATTGGAGCCATCACACCAGGCGGCAATTTGATCGAGTTCTTTGTGCATTGTGCTGGCGATCTCCTGTCTATCACGCCCTCTTCGATAAAACAAAATGTCATCAGCAAATGACAAAGTCCTTCCCTTTCCATTCAACTGCTGCTCAGTGATCATCACCGTACACACGTTGAATAAGACTGGTGATAGCGGGGATCCCTGTGGCAAGCCTGGACATATCGTTTGGGTTCTGAGGACCAGCTACCACATCTGAGTACTATCTTTCTCTCGGACAGGACCGCAGCAATCCAGCGGACCAGAATAGGATTTACTATTAAGCAGTAATTGCATTAAATATTCATATGTTACATTATTAAAGGCATCTTCTAAGTCCACCGCTGCCGCACATGTCTCTTCTTTAATCTGAAATACTTCGTAAACGTAGGCGAAAACTGCAGCGTTGAACCATGTCTCTTTGTTCAACCTGTACCCTCAAAGCGTTAGTTGGAACTTATCATGTAGTTCCAAGTAGATAGTCAATCTTCGTGCGACA